GTAACCCTGTTTCTCAAACCATTAACATTCCATGACAACACTTTCAGTCTAGGGTGATCCATTATTAATCAATTCATTGCCTAAGTCATCCCCAATAAGTTCACTAAATGATAGCCATACCTTGTATAACATCTCCCACCTCCTCCCAAGTTCACCAGTAAAAGCGACATTGCGATTCTCAAGAGATTTTTTCAGCCCTGAGATGTCCATTATTGGCCCAAATGATTCCTTCATTTTATGTGTAATTATAGGGTTCTTCCTTTCACTACGACTACCATCATTCACACACACTTCACTTTCCTTCATTTCATCACTCAATATTTCATCTTTGTCCTCAACCACTATATCCTGATTATCCTTCACCGTTTTGTGATTTTCCTTGACCTCCTGAACGTTTAATTTAGCCTCGATGGACTCGATTCTCTGCCCCAGATTTTGGAGGAACTCACCAACTTTTTTAAGTTCAGCCCACACTTCCTTGACCATATTATTATGACCCTCTCTCTGAGCCACAGTAGCCACTTCACTCACCGTTACACTGTCACTGCCGGAGTCCTGAGTGGTGGCGTGGCTGCTTGTTGCTGGAGCCTGCCTAAGTAAAGGTGACTCCTTTACCCACGCATTCGTCCGGTTCACTGGCACTGTTTGGGGCAGACTGTTTTGCTGTGCTCCCGGTGTCTGGGTAAGAGCTCTTGCTTGCTCTGTAACATTCACCGGCCGGAGAACAGCCATACTCGGCCTCTTGCTACACACAGCCGAGCTCGCATTGTGAACACCTCCACAGTTGCAGCATCTGGGAACTATTTTCTCACCCAGATTCAGTCTGTTTCTACACACAGTAGAGAGGTGAGACTTTCCGCAGAAACGACATCGTGGATCATTTTGACATCTCCAGGATTTATGCCCCCATCTGCAGCATTTCAGGCATATTATGGGCTCTTCCACATACTTTGCTACATGCCTGTAGCCAGCCCCGGTGATGAACACTTTTTCGGGTACGTCACCTCTCACTAGAGCCACCACCTGACTCCTAGCTTCACCTTTAATAAGGTGACGCTTGGCCCACACAAATCGTTGGTCGTCGAGTATAAACTCGGGGTCCAGAATCTGAGGGTATTTATAGATAATTACCTTCGTCAGCTTCTCGTTCCCCTCCGGTATTTCCATAAGAATTCCATCGTATCCTTGCTGGGTAAGATACTCCACTGCCTCCATAGAACCTACCGTTAAGTAAGGTCTGTTTACACCTTCCTTCAGCAGGGGCTCGAACTTGCGGTGTTCTCTTCCGAGTTTGACGGTCCACAGCAGCTTCTGATGATAGGCCAGCGTGCATGAGGCAGGGAAGAGAAGCCTCCATCTCCGCTGATCCTCACCTTCCTGACATCGTTCCGTCCGTTTGTCTGCATCAGTCTCGGCGTCGTTCTTCATTCTTTTATCGTTTCCGTTAAGTGTATTACTGTCCACACTACGCCTTGCCTCCTGTCTTCTTCGTTTCTTCTTATTCCTTGTCAGAACTTCTTGAAACACGCCCTCCTCGTCTGACTGGCTGCTTTCAGAGTCCATGTTAATAACGCCGTGAGAAGTAGCCATGTCTTCTGGTGACTGAGTCTCCATCTCAGTACCCAGCATGGGGGGGGGGGGGGGGGGCCCAAGGTGCGGAGCAGGTATCTTGACCCGACCGCGTCCCAGGTAAGACTGTGTGAGTTCTGCATTTGTCTTGTTATAAATTTTCTTATATATCTCAAAATTTGGCATACAAATCATTTATTTCTTTGCCCAACAACAAATCTTTCAAATCAAATTCATTAAAGAACTTGCCAAGTTCCCAATATTTTCCTCTCCTGAAATAAAGGATTTTAATTTTTTCCATTCCCATTCCCTTCTAGATTATAATACATTACATATTTTATCTTCAAAAGGACATAGTCACTTCTACCCAAGAGAGGAAGGTACCGAATGTCAAGTGTCTCTTCTTTCCTGTTGAATATCAAATCCAGAACTGATGGAACATCCCTGTCTCATTCTTGTGGCCTGCATAACTTGTTGATATGTGAATGTCTCCAGGATGAGGTTTACAAATCTGCCAGTCCAAATGTCCTCCGTTCTTGCTTTCCAGGCATCCCAGTCTATGATTTAAAGTTGAAATACCCAAGTATCAACAATTGTGATTTATCTTTATCTGCTCTTACTATAATCTCTCACGATGACTATGAGGCCCTCTCCTCTGTCATCCAGTTCCTCCTTTGTCCATGTGTTGCTTGCTGCTAGACTGTAGGCATTTATGATTATTAGTTTATTATCCTAATTACAAATCTCCAGTACCACTACGTCAACTTCTCGTGGCTTGTTGGTTATTAACCCTCTTACCTTCAGGAGTTCTTTCACCTGAAGGCAAGGTGAAAGAACACCCCTTTCATCAGCACAGAACTTCCACCTTTTGAAATTTTTCTGTTGCTACTCCTAATTGAGTAGCCCCTCAGGAACACAACCTCATCTAAAATAATTATCTTCAAGTTTAGTCTCTGTTAGTGCAACAATCTCTGGCATCTTGTGCAGTATTATATCATTTAGTTCCAATATTTTTTATCTTGCTTCATCTATATTTGTATATACAACTTTCAGGAACATGTTTCCACTCCCTTTGTCCTTTATTTCTACTTCCTCTAATGATTTTCATGGATTGCTTTTATGTACCATTTTACAGGTTCCCCAATCCCTATCATTGTATAGAAAGTGAAAAAAAAATTCATTCCAATCTTCTATTAGACATTTTTCTTCCCTAACGTACCCTTTTAGCTTCACTGTCTTTCTTATAAAGATCTCATTTTAATGACCATACTTTAATTATATTTTTCCATCTTCATCATTTAGCAATTCCAAGGTACAGTATTCTCAAGCACTTTTGACATTTATTTCACTCAATTGAATATCATCCCTTAGGGAAAGGTTCTTATCTCTCTCTCTTATTTGCCGATCCTAATAAAAGCACCGACATTTTCCTTTATTGCGAGGCCTTCTCCTGAACTTACTCTTTTTATCAATGAATTTTACCTCTTCTGCTGCTCTGTCCACCCTAGATGGTATCTCTGTTTTCAGAACCCAAAAAATTAAAGACTTGCTTCTATCTAGTGTTTTATACAAATTTACTTCTGGTAACCAGTTCTTTCCTCATTGCTTGTCTAATTCTGTTTCTTGCTGTCATTTCTGTTTTTAACCTCAATACGTACTTTGATTTCCAAACATGACTACCTGGTTCATAATAAAATAAACACAAACACATTTTGTGTTTGAAAGAGCCTAGATACAGGGAAGATACCAGCAGCATTTAAATCTTCAGATACAGCTCCTCTGCACAAGGGGGGGGTAGTAATGCTTTGGCAAAAAAATTATAGACCAGTTGCACTAACATCACACATAAAAGTTTTTGAAAGCGTGATTAGAAATCAAATTTCTAGTTTTATGGAAAATAATGAGCTGGATAACATGGATTCAGAGCGGGAAGATCCAGTCATCACAGCTATTCAATCACTAAGACAAAATCACAAGCCCTAGAAGAAAAGCAAAAGGCAGATGTTGTATACACAGACATTCCAAAGACATTCAACAAATGTGACCATGGAGTGATAGCACACAAACTGAGGTCAATGGGAAGAACTAGATAAAGTAGGCCGGTGGATATGCAATTTCCTGTCTAACAGAACACAGCAAATAACAGTCAAATAAAATAGAGTCCAAGCTCAGTTAAAAGCTCTGCATCTCAGGGTACAGTCCTTGCACCACTGCAATTCCTCATTCTCATATCAGATATAGACAAAAATACAAGTTACAGTTTCGTGTCATCCTTTGCAGATGACACAAAAATCAGCATGAAAATTACCACCGTGGAAGACATTGAAAAACTACAAGCAGATATTAATAACGTTTTCAACTGGGCAGCAGAAAATAACATGAGGTTTAACAGTGATAAATTCCAGGTACTTTGGTACGGTAAAAATGAGAACCTTAAACCATGATTCAGGGTACAAAACACAATCAAATCTGCCCATAGTAGGAAAGCAACATGTAAAAGATTTGGGAATAATGATATCCGACAACCTAACGTTTAGGGAGCATAACCAAGCAAATATTCCATCAGCCAGATAAATGATAGTATGGATTACGAGAACTTGCAAATCCAGGGATCCCATCACAATGGTTGTACCGTTCTCTTCAAATCACTTATGCTGTCCCATCTTGAGTACTGCTCAGAACTCGCATCCCCCCTTCAGAGCAGGAGAGATTATTGAAATAGAGGGATTACAGAGAAGATATACAGCACGCATAGACTCGATAAAACGCCCAAATTATTGGGATCGTCTCAAAGCTCTCCAAATGTACTCGCTAGAAAGGAGACGAGAAAGATATCAAATGATATACACATGGAAAATACCAGAGGGCCAGGTACCAAATCTACACAGTAAAATAACAACATATGGAGTGAACAATTTGGAAGAAAATGCAGATTAGAACCAGTGAAGAGCAGGGGTGCCATATGCACAATCAGAGAACACAAAAAACATCAGAGGTCCACGGTTGTTCAACATCTTCCCAGCGAGTATAAGAAATATTGTGGGAACCACTGTGGACATCTTCAAGAGAAAACTAGAGTGTTTTCTAAGACAAGTGCCGGACAAACCGGGCTGTGGTGGATATATGGGCCTGTGGGCCGCTCCAAGCAACAGCCTAATGGACCAAGCTCTCTCAAATCAAGCCTGGCCTCAGGCTAGGCTTGGGGAGTAAAAGAATTCCAGAACCCCATCAAGCAGGCACAGTACATTAAAGTGCAAGAGGCAAACAACCATTCCAATACTTTCATATTCAATTTAAGTTTATCTCATGATTATGGCCACAAACAACCACAGATTAATTTATTAATACGTATATAAATATTTACACTGATGAGAGTTAAAGTAAAAATGCTACATATAACAGCATGCATATTATACATTTATCGAACTTACATGAAGATCTCTTGTGGCATCAGTGAGTGAATCTGTCACTTTGTCAAGCTGCTTTTTGACCCTCTTGATCTCTGCTGAGAGCACATCATCCATTAGAGACGCAGCATACAAAGTCAAACGGGACACCAAGAGTGCACAAGATTTTTCCAAGTCCAGACACTGCTTCAATAATTTGATCACTGTTGTAGCATCACAGACAACACCTTGCCTACTCCTCAGCTCCAGTACCTATGAGAAAAAAAAATGAAACACCAGTAATGTACTGCATACAACTTAAAAAGTTACATTATAAACACTAACCAGTGGCAAATTATTTAATGACCAAACTTAAATGTAACAGAACCTGTAATTTACATTTTGCCAGTGCTGAGAACTGTTTCAGGCTTCCCAGGGAACAACAACATAATAAACCTAACAAAAAATATAATTTCTGGAATATTACTCACAATTAACATAAATAATAATTTTGTGCATACAGAGTAGTTAGGTCTAGGATTAGTATGATTAGGTTTTGATTTAGTTGGCAATTATTTGTACAGTATGTGCAGTATGTAGGTGGAGCTTTTATAAAGGAGTAATGTAACTACAGAAAGAGAGCCAGGCATCCCCGGGGAGGGGCCGCCTCGCACGCCAGGCAATCCAGAAGTGCTCTAATAATAGCCTACACTTTAAGAGATGTTATGCACAGAATGTCATATAGACATCCCTGGAGATAGCAGTGTGAATGTGGACACACTACAGACTAACATGCTCGTGTCTGAAGCTAGACATAAATACAACAAAATTATTAATGATGGTAACCGAGTCCATTTCATGTGGATTACATCTCGTGTTGGCCTCTGAATGCATGATAGAGATGATGAGTTAGCCAAAGAATCTGCCTTTAAAGAGAAATTGAGTATAACCTTGGATTGCCAATAAGCAGTCCGAGAGCAAGAACGTCAACAAAATCTAGTAGATCTTGAGGCAGAATGAAGTCGACACTAGTAATTCCATCTATCATCATACTATCATGCAAGAAGTGCCACACATCTATGGATCATCCAGTCAAATCAGCAGACTTCTAGATGTTACTACTGCTCGGCTTAGACTCGGTTACAAGTATCTCTGGGAATTTTTATCATCTGCTCATGTAGACCTGACCAAATGTAAACTTTGTCAACAAAATTATTCGCACACCCTCCGTCACTGTGACGGAATGCGAAAAGATACGTGAATTCAGAGAATTCTGTAACAAATATTCATAAGATGTGTAAATATTTCATTCAAAATGATCTACCAGAAACCTTAGCCAAATATACCCAGTTTGCTAACTGTAGATAGTAACTAAATGACTAACCTATCCACCGCTGCCCACTGGATGGGGGCGGTGTGCAGGATAAACATATCAATTGTGACACTAGCTCCCCACATATATCAGTTGCTTAATTTAGAAAACGTAATTGTGGTCGGTCTTGAGCCCATTGTTGTTGTGATTGTGCATTGAATTTTGTAACTATCAAGACTTAACTTGCTTAGCTAAATGAATTGTGGGGTTCAGTCCCTGAGCCCATTATGTGCCTCTGTAACCCTTTCCACTACCACCCACAAGATGGGTATGGGGTGCATAATAAATTAACTAAATTAACATTTGGCTAATGTATTACATATATTGTTAGAAAAGGTAAAACATAAGCTACAGAGGAAATATGAATGTACAGTAAATACCTCTTACCCAGCACAAATATGAATACATACTGTACTGTTTCATTTATACACTGAATATCCATATTGTACAGTATATCTTCTCCACTCCAGCTATTTTTATGATAAACATTGGAAAATAATGTTTATTTTCACCCATTCTGGCAATATATACCCACTAGTTTCATATATGAAAGTTCATAATATGAATGTTGCTCTTTTCACAAGTTTCTGGTAGTACCGTACTGTAGCTATGTTCTCACCTAGTAGTAAATAGGTACCCGAGAGTTAGGTAACTTGTGTGGTTGCATTCTGACTTTGTGTTTGCTGTATGTGCATAACAGTGAGACCATTGCTCAACTGTCCAGCTCAAGTGGTTTGGAATTGTTTTTAAATGTATGGATGGTGAAATACTAAAATTGTTCACTACGTTTGTTCACTACGTTTGTTGGAATACGCAGCAGTTTTATGGTGCCCATATTTTAAGAAGCGCATCAACAAACAGGAAAAGGTGCAAAGACATGCAACTAAATGGCTCCCAGAATTGAAAGACAAGAGCTATAAGGAGATGTTAGAGGCATTAAATATGCCAAAACTAGAAGATAGAAGAAAAAGAGGCAATATGATTACTACCTACAAAATAGTAACAAGAATCAATAAAGTTTATAAAGAAGGATTCTCAAGTCTTTGAACTTTAAAAACCATGAAGTCATAGATTTAAGCTAACTAAACAAAGCTGCCAAAATCCAAAGCTGCTTCATGAGCTCTTTGGCCTGGGTTCGTATCCTAGCCAGGGAGGATTGACTGGGTGCCAATCCTTGACTGTAGCCTCTGTTTACCCAGCAGTGAATGGGTACCTGGTTGTTAAAAAGATTTAATGGGTTGCATTCCAGGGAAAAATTAGGATTAGGGACCTGCCCAAAATGCTGTGTGTGCTAGTAGCTTACAAGAATGTAAGAACTCTTATATACTGCATATAAATAAAAATAAAAAATAAAAGTTCACTTTTGCAAACAGAGGTAGACAATTAAGTGAGAAGGTGGTAGAGGCCAAAATTATCAGTAGTTTTTAAGGCTTTATACTATTATATAAAGTCTTATATAATAGAGCACTGGCCTTGTATAATAGAGTACTGGGAAGATGGGACACCACAACTGTAGCTGTCATCTTGTACCTGCATTTAGGCGATTACACTTAGCCGAGGAATATGAGTTATGAGGAGAGACTACGGAAACTAAACCTCATGTCGCTGGAAGACAGAAGAGTTAGGCGAGACATGATCACCACATACAAGATTCTCAAAGGAATTTATAGGGTAGATAAAGACAATTTATTTAACACATGGGGCACACACACAAAGGGACACAGGTGGAAATTGGGTACCCAAATGAGCCATGGACATATTAGAAAGAACTTTTCAGTCTCGGTAATTAAGAAATGGAATGCATTAGGAAGTGATGTGATGGAGGCACACTAACACAGTTTCAAATGTAGATATGATAGAGCCCAACAGGCTTGGGAATCTGTACACCCGTCGACTAACTGGTCGAGAAGCAGCAAAAAAGTGCTGCAGCTCAACCCCTGCAAGCACAACTAGGCAAGTACTTAGGTATTTAATTTGGTCAAGTCTACATTAGCAAGTAATGCAAACTCCCAGAGATACTTATAACCAACTTTAAGCAGAGCAATAGTAACATCAGCTGTGGATGGAATCCAATCATAAGTCATAAAGGAACTGCCAGAAGAACTATGCTTACTGTCGAAACTACTCTTCACAAAATTTCTGGACCAAGGGATAGTCCCGAGATATTGGTAATATGCAAATGTTATCCCTATATTCAAAAGGCAGAAGGAGCTCAGTAGATAACTACCATCTGATTAGCTTCATATCAACATCTGCAAACTCATGGAGAGAATCCTCATGGAAGGAATCATTCACCATCTTTCGGTGAACAATCTTGTAAAATCGACAATGTGTTAAAATATATCCTGCCTTACAAACTTGCTCACATTTTTTAAACTGTACAAGACAAAGGACTTCCAGTGGATGTAGTATACATAGATTTTGCTAAAGCCTTTGATAAGGTACCACATGAAAGACTGGCAAGGAAATTTCAGGCACATGGAAAAATGGTAGAATACTAGAATGGATAAAACAATGGATAAAAAAAAAGTAAAATGGTAATGAATCTGACTGTAGAAATGTGGCAAGTGGGGGGGGTCCCATTTTGGGGCCAACCATTTTTGTCATATACATCAATGACACGAAGCTGCAAAAATGACATAGATGAGAATATTACAAACCACATCATCAAATTTGCAGTTGACACAAAGATTTATGGTCAAGTGGAAATGAAAATGACATTGAAGCCTTACAGTGAGATCTACATGAACTCTACAAATGGTCAGAAGACTGGTGAATGCTTTTTAGTATCGACAGATCAACAAAAGGCAACCCACATCGCAACTACCAAATTATTAATATTACATTACAGCAGATAGATGAAGATAAGGACTGTGGAGTCAAAATTTACCATTCACTCTTAAGTGCACAACAGGTTGGTGCAGCAGTCAAGAAAGCTAATCAAACCCTTGGAATAAACAAGTGTACTTTTAACTTTAAGAAAAAAGAAGGTAGTGATTCAATTGTATAAATCTCTGGTGCGCCCTCATTTGGATTACAGTACTGTATCCAAGCATGGAGACCTTATCTTCAGAAGGAAATAGCTGCTCTGGAGAAGGTGCAACACTGGGCAACAAAAATCATTCTAGAGCCAAGTCAACTCGCTCACCAGAAACGGTTGAGGGCCACAGGGCTAACAACACTACAAACCAGACATGATGGGAGATTTTGTTGAAATTTAAAATGCTAAACAATTTGGAGGATGTTGATCCAGACAATTTCTTCAAAAGGTCAATGTTCCCTGAAGATGAACCCTTAAATTTACTTTAATATACCTACTTTTTTTGTCAAATTTCTTATACAATGTATTTTTTCTTTATTATACTTTCCTACAATGCATTTTTATACATTCTTACAATGTACAGTACTTTTATACTTTCTTATAATGTATTTTTATACTTTCTTACATTGTACCTGTAAACATTTTCCTCTTTTAATTTTGCTAGAAATTACCGTCTTAAAATTATGTTAGATAAAGGATCTGCCCAAAATGCTATACGAGCTAGTGTAGCATGTGTACGAGCTTTACAAGAACGTCAAACTTCAACTCTCTCTCTCTACTCTCATAAACCCAATGTACCTTCTATATAAATAAAAATGTAAATGTTCGTTTGTTCAAAACCGCTAATCTCAGAAAGTTCTTCACCGATTGCTTTGAAATTTTCACACACCGTTCCATTCGCATCCGAGCAGGTTTTTATATACAGTACATACTATATAGATGCCACACCTGTGACAGGTAAAAACATTCTTTTTTGGAAAAACAGAGCCATCTGTTACATGTAATAGTAACACACACGCTATACTAAGTATGTTATGATTCCATTTCAATGTTTCCGATTACATTGACAAATTGAATTTTCATAGATTTATATTTATTTCCATTTTGATTTAATTATTTTGTGTGATATAGCATTCGAATTGAGCTGTGTTGTCTACTATAACATTCATTTTGTGAGTATAGTTTATTTTTTTATTTTTTCATTTTTTTTTATTTATTTTTTTTACTGTTTTCTTATATTTCAATGATGGGAACATCAGATCATTTGATGTTCCCAATTTTCTGATGGGAACATCAGATCATTTGGGAACGCATCGGACGAGGGAGTGGGGAATGGTGGGGGAGGACCAGGGGGAACGGGAGTGATGGATGGTGGGGAGGACGAAGGGACAGGGGACGGGGGGTAATGGTGGGGAGGACGAGGGGAGTTGGGGATGGTGGAGACAAGGGGATGGTGGAGACAAGGGGATGGGGGAGTGGGAGATGGTTAGGACGACGAGGGGACAGTGGAGTGGGGGATGGTTAGGACGACGAGGAGACGGTGGAGTGGGGGATGGTTAGGACAACGAGGGGACGGTGGAGTGGGGGATGGTTAGGACGACGACGGGACGGTGGAGTGGGGGGATGGTTAGGACGACGAGGGGACGGTGGAGTGGGGGATGGTTAGGACGACGAGGGGACGGTGGAGTGGGGGATGGTTAGGACGACGAGGGGACGGTGGAGTGGGGGATGGTTAGGACGACGAGGGGACGGTGGAGTGGGGGATGGTTAGGACGACGAGGGGACGGTGGAGTGGGGGATGGTTAGGACGACGAGGGGACGGTGGAGTGGGGGGATGGTTAGGACGATGAGGAGACGGTGGACTGGGGGATGGTTAGGACGACGAGGGGACGGTGGAGTGGGGGATGGTTAGGACGACGAGGGGACGGTGGAGTGGGGGGATGGTTAGGACGACGAGGGGACGGTGGAGTGGGGGGATGGTTAGGACGACGAGGGGACGGTAGAGTGGGGGATGGTTAGGACGACGAGGGGACGGTGGAGTGGGGGATGGTGGGGGAGGACAAAGGGACAGGGGAGGGGGGATGCTTTTTCACCCACAGGGTTATTAACCCATGGAACCACCTACCTGCCAAAGTTGTAAATACCATACCTCTTAAATTTTAAAATCCAACTGGAAAAAATCATAAGGGCAAATTGGGGGACATTTAACAAGCCCTCGTCGAGGCCGCTAAGTCTTGGACACCCTCAGGTAAAAATCTACGAGTCTGCTGATTTTTTTGGACGAACCAGATATGAGGCTCTTTGTGCAAATACAAAGATACATGGAACAACTGGTGTAGATTTCACCGTATCTCTGATCTACAAGGTTTTGTTGTAGTTCCTGGTGGATTACTCTTCTCAAGTTACAAGTAAACCATGGTTATAATCAATTCCTTTAAAGGCAGTATCTTTGGCTAACATATCAATTCTATCATGAATGTGGAGACTTAAATGTGATGAAATGGACTCTTTTGTTATCATCATTAATAATTTTGTTATATGCAATTTGTCTAACCAAATTAATCATTAATTTTCTCAGAGGACAAGCAGCCTGTATTTACCTAGTTGTGCCTGCCGGGGTTGAGCTCTGCTCTTTTGGCCCGCCTCCCAACCATCAATCAATGATCAATTTTTTTCCTGCCTACACACACACACACACACACCCAGGAAGCTGCCCATAACAGCTGTCTAACTCCCAGGTACCTATTTACTGCTAGGTGAACAAGAGCATTAGGGTGAAAGAAACTACCCATTTCTGCCATGGCCGGGGATCGAACCCGGGCCCCAGGATTACAAATCCTAAGCATTTTCCATTCAGTCACAGGCCCCTGTGTGTGTGTGTAGACGTACTGTTACACATATACACTGTGCTGGTGGTGCCCCCCCCCCCGGACAGACACCTGACCCCCCCCCCCCCAGGATACAACACCCCCACAACACTTCCCACACTCCCGGGTACCAATTTACTGCCAGGGTAAACACCGCCGTTAGGTTAAAGGAAACGTGCCCAAGTATTTGTCCTGCCCGGGATTCGAACCCAGGGGTCCTGGATTGCGAGTCGAGAACGAAGCCAACTGTACTACCGAGACCCTTTTAGAGTCTTGAGGAGTCATGGGGAGGATGACCCCCCCCCCCCCTTTCATTCAAACTGCACATACCATAACTATGATGAGTTTTAGCAATTAAAAGACAAGGAATAAATTATCTCTCAGCAATAACTATCAAACCTAAATTACAGTTCCAGTCAACTCACCTGATTGGCAATGGGCCCAAGAACATTTAGCACACACTTTGACTTTGTACGGCGGCTTATGTCTTCCATTTTGGCGAGGTAAAGATCAGTGGTGAGACGAGTTGTTGCTCCAGGAGTGTGAGAGTGGGAGAGCGGAGTGTGTGAGTGTTTGAGTGTGAGAGTGTGAGAGCAGGAGAGCCCTGTAAGGTGACTGTTTGAATGTTTCCGCCGCCACTACACCTGGCTCGAGGCGCATTCTACCACCACACAAACACATTTTTCATTCATTCTTCTAACCTAATTTGCAATAATACATGTACATTGTTCACGAAAACAAATATTACTATAATTTAAATACAGGATGTAATCTCATTCATAGTTATAACTATACGATATCTGAATTCGTATTAGTAACTTTAAATAAATAAATAAATGAATAAATAAATAAAAATAAATAAATAAAATACTAATAAAAATTAATGATTAAAAATAAATGATTAAAAATAAAATAAAAATAAATAAATAAAAATAAATAAATAAAAATAAATATAAAAAATAAAAATAAACAAATAAAATAAAAAATTAAATAAAAATAAAATTTAAAAAAATTAAATAAAAATAAATACAAATAAATAAATAAATAAATAAATAAATATAAATTCTGTAGCAGGGGTATGATAATATTCTCGCGCCATTATTTTTTGTATTAGCAAAATTAGGTATACACAGCAATGTGCTGCTGCTGTTGTTATAGATTCAGCTACCAAAACAAGCACCAAGTAGCACAGGCTATGGTGAGCCCGCAGTGGACTTACCTGGCACAGGAGTGATGCTGTGTGCATGATGATGATGATGAAGATTAAGCCACCCAAAAGGTGGCACGGGCATGAATAGCCCGTAAGTGGTGGCCCTTTTGAGCCATCACCAGTATCAAGAGCTGATACTGGAGATCTGTGGAGGTGCGAATGCACCCTGCATGATGGGAGATGTCTCCCTTGTGAATGTGTTAAGATGAAGATGAAGCCACCCAATAGGTGGCACGGGCATGAATTGGTAAGTGGTGGCCCTTTTGAGCCATCACCAGTATCAATAGATGATACTGGAGATCTGTGGAGGTGCGACTGCACCCAGCGTGACGGGAGATGTCTCCCGTGTTTTAAACAGATGAAGAAGATGAAGATGAAGCCACCCAAAAGATGGCACTGGCATGAATAGCTCGTAAGTGGTGGCCCTTTCGAGCCATCACCAGTATCAAGAGCTGATACTGGAGATCTGTGGAGGTGCAACTGCACCCTGCGTGACGGGAGATGTCTCCCGGACCAAGTGGTGACCAAATGGTGTGCTGTGTGCAATGTGCTGCTACCCTATATATTCTATACGAGACATTACACAGAGTAGATCAAGAACTAGCTTTAGGTTCAACTATTATTCCCATCTCACAGGATAGTCATACATGGAATTTGGGGAGATAATACCTGCCTTAATACAAAATGCCCGAAACGCTTTGCGTAATAGTGGCTTTAGGCATTGTATGTACTAGCTCTACCTATAAGTCTACCAATCCTTGTAAAAATTTATTGTATGTATGTACCTTACCTAAATAAAATTGTATTGTATTGTAAAAACAAACTAGCTCCGACTTATCAGCTGGCTATACGTTCATCTAATATTCCCATCTCACAGGAAGGTTAGTCGTACATGGAATCAGGGGAGAAGATACCAGCCTCAATACAAAAATAAATCAACTGACTAAAAATCTGGTGAGAACATAAAATATAAGGCTGATCTAGTAGCCCCCGCTAGCAATATCTGGGTATAGCATAAGAATATCTTCCAATATTCCTATTTGATGATAGAGTTACAAGATACGAGCTAGATGGTGTTGAGATTGCGAAGTCGGATTGCGAAAGGGATCTGGGAGTTATGATTAGTAAGAATTTAAAACAAAAGGATCAATGCATGAATGTTCGTAATAAGGCGAATAGGACACTGGGATTTATTAATCGAAGCGTTAGTAACAAGACACCTGGTGTGGTTCTTAAGCTATATCTTGCTCTGGTTAGGCCCCATTTAGATTATGCAGTTCAGTTTTGGTCGCCGTATTATAGAATGGATATAAATTCGCTTGAACGTGTCCAACGTAGGATGACTAAGTTAATTCCCCAAATTAGAAATCTTTCATATGAAGAAAGATTAACAAAGCTTAAGTTGCATTCACTGGAAAGGCGAAGAGTTAGGGGTGACATGATAGAGGGTTACAAGTGGGTGAATGGACATAACAGGGGGGATATCAATAGGGTATTAAAAATATCAACACAAGAACATAAGAACATAAGAACATAAGAACAAAGGTAACTGCAGAAGGCCTTTTGGCCCATACGAGGCAGCTCCTATTCTATAACCACCCAATCCCACTCATATAAGAACATAAGAACATAAGAACAAAGGTAACTGCAGAAGGCCTATTGGCCCATACGAGGCAGCTCCTATTCTATAACCACCCAATCCCACTCATATACTTGTCCAACCCGTGCTTGAAACAATCGAGGGACCCCACCTCCACAATGTTACGCGGCAATTGGTTCCACAAATCAACAACCCTGTTACTGAACCAGTATTTACCCAAGTCTTTCCTAAATCTAAACTTATTCAATTTATATCCATTGTTTCGTGTTCTGTCCTGTGTTGATACTTTTAATACCCTATTAATATCCCCCCGGTTATGTCCATTCATCCACTTGTAAACCTCTATCATGTCACCCCTAACTCTACGCCTTTCCAGTGAATGCAACTTAAGCTTTGTTAATCTTTCTTCATATGAAAGATTTCTAATTTGGGGAATTAACTTAGTCAACCTACGCTGGACACGTTCAAGTGAATTTATATCCATTCTATAATATGGCGACCAAAACTGAACTGCATAATCTAAATGGGGCCTAACTAGAGCAAGATATAGCTTGAGAACCACACCAGGTGTCTTGTTACTAACGCTGCGATTAGTAACAAGACAGAACACGAAACAATGGGTATAAATTGGATAAGTTTAGATTTAGGAAAGACTTGGGTAAATACTGGTTCAGTAACAGGGTTGTTGATTTGTGGAACCAATTACCGCGTAACGTGCTGGAGGTGGGGTCCCTCGATTGTTTCAAGCGCGGGTTGGACAAATATATGAGTGGGATTGGGTGGTTATAGATAGGAGCTGCCTCGTATGGGCCAATAGGCCTTCTGCAGTTACCTTTGTTCTTATGTTCTAAGTGTATGAAGATTGATTGATGAAGATTAAGCCACCCAAAAGGTGGCACGGGCATGAATAGCCCGTAAGTGGTGGCCCTTTTGAGCCATTACCAGTATCAATAGATGATACTGGAGATCTGTGGAGGTGCGGCTGCACCCTGCGTGACGGGAGATGTCTCCCGTGAAGTGTATGAAGTAATTACAGAGCTCAAAGTACCTCACACCATCAAGTCTGAAATTACTTATAACAGCGCAATCACAGATATAGTGTTGGAGAGTATATCCCAGCTCTTGTTCACATAGTTTACAATGGGAATGTTCACCATTGGGGGATTCATTACCTGCAGCCACCTGACATTGATATCGATATCCCAGCCTAATTCTGGCAATTACAATGTCACTGTAGTGGATGTTTTATGCTGCATGTATATATAATTCTCGGTTCTAAACATGGTATAGCTCTTTATACTTGTGCTTTCTGGCCTTTGCTTGTCAGTGACTCCTCTCCTGTCTTCCCTAATTTCAGAGTTTGTTAAATCCACTTAACCCACTAATTACAATTAATACTTCTTCCCAATTGTATTTGGGAAGTGGTATTATATACCTCTTCCCAAATCTCTTCCCTAACCTACGTATTAATCTAATCTCTGTGTATTGTGTCTAATTTTCTTACAATGTACCTTTAAATTTTTTTGTCAATTTTGCTAGAAATTACCTACTAAAAATTGTCTGTTAGATTAAGGACCTGCCCGAAACGCTATGCGTGCTAGTGGCTTTACAAGAATGTAAAATCATTGATATATACTCTCTTAACCCCAATGTACCTTCCTGTATATTATTAAATAAACCTGCTAGAGAAATGGTAAGGTGAGGTGTATTCTATGTATATCTATATTCATAAACTATGAATTGGCAAAATGATCAGGGAAAGAGAAGGGCCTCAAAATAACAATTCACTTAGGGTATATTACACTAACAGTAGAAGTCTAAGAAATAAAATTAACGAATTAAATGCTCTTGTATGCACAGAAAAAATAGATATTATTGCACTTACCGAAACGTGGATGAATGTTGAAAATAGAAAACTATTAGCTGAATATCAAATAAATAGATTTAAACTATTTCACACAGATCGATATATTAGACGAGGAGGGGGAGTAGCCATATATGTTAGGGACAATTTGAAATGTAGTCTCAAAGAGGGAATCAAAACTGAGCCACACACAGAAACTATTTGGATAGAATTAAACGAAAAAGCAAATAATATTATAATAGGAGTTATATATAGGCCACCAAATTTAGACAGAATGGAAGCAAAGCATCTATGGGATGAAATATCTAGAGCATCTAGATCTAACAGTATTTATGTCATGGGTGACTTTAATTTTAGTGGAATAAACTGGTTGAACAAAACAGGGAATAGTGAAGCAGAAGATTTTCTAGAATTAATTGACGATTGCTTTCTTACGCAACACATTAAGGAACCAACGCGGGAAAATAATATTTTAGATTTAGTGTTAACTAACGGGGAAACACAAATTAAGGACATCGAAATAGGGAGTGAGCTAGGGAACAGTGATCACAAAGAAATCAGATTTAGCATAGAATGGAATAGACCTGTAGGAGAAAATTCTGTTAAAGTGCCAGATTTTCGAAAAGCTGATTTTAATAGCCTAGAATATATTATACATATACATTATACATATATATTATATACATATACATTATGTATACATTATAAGGTGAGGTGTAAAGAATATTCTAAACAAAGGACAGGAACATAGTATACCATACAAATTGAATAGATCGAAAACTAATGACCCAAAGTGGATAACAAATAATTTAAAGAACCTTATAGGTAAAAAGAGAGCTTGGTACAAAAGGATTAAGAATGGGGAAGTCAGGTTAGAACAGGAATTCATACAACTGGTTAGAATTGTTAAAAAAAGAGATTAGGAAAGCAAAAAGAAACTATGAAGTTCGCATAGCAGAGCAAGCAAAGTCAAATCCTAAAGGGTTTTTTCAGTTATATCGAACTAAGACTAGGGAAAGGATAGGTCCATTAAAATCTGAGACAGGTCAAATAACGGATAATGACAAAGAGATGAGTAGTATTTTTAACAAATATTTTATATCTGTATTTACTAAAGAAGAACTTAACAATATGCCTTCAGCCGAACAAGTCTATGTGGGTGGGGATAAGGACAGGTTGACTAGTTTAGCAGTTACCAGGGAGGATGTAATTAAACAATTAGAAAAACTAAAACCAAACAAATCCCCAGGGCCGGATGAAGTGTTTGCCAGGGTGCTTAAAGAATGCAAAGAGGAGCTTTCCGAGCCACTGTCTACCATATTTAATAAATCAATAGAGTCAGGCAGAGTGCCAGAGTCATGGAAGGTAGCTAATGTGGTACCAATTTTTAAGAAAGGAGATAGATCACTTGCGTCAAACTATTGGCCAATTAGCCCAACGTCTATTGTGGGAAAGTTACTCGAATCAATAATTGCAAATACAATTCGTCTCCATCTTGAAAAACATAAATTAATAAATGAGTCGCAACATGGTTTTACAAATGGCCGTTCATGTTTAACAAATTTGCTAACTTTTTATTCCAGCATAGTTGAGGCAGTTGATAGTGGTAAGGATTGTGATTTTGTGTACCTTGACTTTAGCAAAGCTTTTGATACAGTGCCACATGAAAGACTAATTAAAAAAAATAGAAGCTCATGGTATTGGGGGTGCTATATTAACTTGGATTAGGGCATGGCTATTCCAAAGGAAACAGAGAGTTAGTATAAATGGGGTTAAGTCAGAGTGGGATAATGTTGTTAGTGGAGTACCTCAGGGCTCTGTCCTGGGACCTCTGTTGTTTATAATATATATAAATGATTTAGATTCAAGTTTGAGTAGCAACATTTGCAAATTTGCCGATGATACGAAAATCGGTAGGGAAATTAATTCGGAGGAGGACTCACTATCACTTCAAGTTGATCTAGATAGGGTTTTGAAATGGTCAAAGGATTGGCAAATGCAGTTTAATGCTGATAAATGTAATGTTCTGAGGCTAGGTAATGATGATAGAGTTACAAGATACGGGCTGGATGGTGTTGAGATTGCGAAGTCGGATTGCGAAAGGGATCTGGGAGTTATGATTAGTAAGAATTTAAAACAAAAGGATCAATGCATGAATGTTCGTAATAAGGCGAATAGGACACTGGGATTTATTAATCGAAGCGTTAGTAACAAGACACCTGGTGTGGTTCTTAAGCTATATCTTGCTCTGGTTAGGCCCCATTTAGATTATGCAGTTCAGTTTTGGTCGCCGTATTATAGAATGGATATAAATTCACGTGAACATGTCCAACGTAGGGTGACTAAGTTAATTCCCCAAATTAGAAATCTTTCTTATGAAGAAAGATTAACAAAGCTTAAGTTGCATTCACTGGAAAGGCGAAGAGTTAGGGGTAACATGATAGAGGTTTACAAGTGGGTGAATGGACATAACAAAGGGGATATTAATAGGGTATTAAAAGTATCAACACAAGACAGAACACGAAACAATGGGTATAAATTGGATAAGTTTAGATTTAGGAAAGATTTGGGTAAATACTGGTTCAGTAACAGGGTTGTTGATTTGTGGAACCAATTACCGCGTAACGTGCTGGAGGTGGGGTCCCTCGATTGTTTCAAGCGCGGGTTGGACAAGTATATGAGTGGGATTGGGTGGTTGTAGATGGGAGCTGCCTCGTGTGGGCCAATAGGCCTTCTGCAGTTGCCTTTGTTCTTATGTTCTTATGATTGAAAAAGTAGGGGACGAAGGGAGTACGAATCAAGAGAGCAGTAGAGCTACGAGTGAGGAGAAAAGAATAACCACGAAAGTCACCAGAACGAGCACCAAGCGTCGGCTCCTGAAGACATACGCAAAGCGGTGAAAACTGTGTAATCAGAAATTGGAGTTCATGAAAATTGGCATAAAAGCCACGAATATTCCATTGAAGAATAGACATTGTCAAAAGGAAAGAGGACGGCAATAGAGAACAATGAAGAAACAAAGGCAAGGGAGAACACAGCATATTAAAGAAGCTCGGGATCAGGGTCAGCGAAATCAGGGTTATGGGGCATGGGTAAACTTAGTAAGGACGGAGTTAAGGGAGCATGGCAGACCAGAGGCTGACGGACGGGGTCTGGAGGAGACAACCGAGAGGGGCGGTCAAGGACAGGAGTTGAGGGCTGGGGGGGGTCGGAAACTGGGGAGCGCACCTCAGCAAGGGCAGCAACAGAGAGGGAATCGGGGCTAAAGAAACCTCCATAGCTGGAACAGGGTTTCCGACCATGAAAATAGGAGGGGACGCAGTGAGTCAGAGGTAGGGAGCAAAGAAGAAAGCAACACCTTCTTACCCGCCGGGGAGGAGGGAGAGGAGCCAGGCTTACGTGTGCCAGCAACAACGTAATGGACGACAGACTCAATTGTCTCAACAGAAGAACGGGGACGAACATGAAGATGGCTGGGAGGATGATGGACAGACAGGCGGCGTGGAGGGCCAAGAGACTGGGGGGGAGAGTTGGAAATGATCGGGGGGAGATGGGAAAGAAGACACAGGAGACATGAGACATGACTTTGTTCTTATGTTCTTATGACAGATTGGGTGGGATAGGGGGAAAACTCCAGATGGAGAACCAGGTGGAACCCTTCAGGACAGAACGTAAAGGAACAAGGTAGGAGGCGGTGGGCGTGTCCGGGTCTAAGGTCTGGAAATGGTTGCGAGACTAAGGTGGGAAGGACAAGGAGAGGTAGAACGCAACACGCGAGCATAAGATACGCCAGTGAAAGGGTAGAAACGGCGGACTTGGAGTCTCGCTTCAGGAAAAAAAAAGAGAAACGCTCCCGGTGTTTCAAGTTGAGGATGACTTCAAGTATGTAGCGGGAGAAGGTAGGGTGGGCCTCATCGCAATTGAGGCAGCCAGTCTGGGGAGAAGAGCACTCTCGAAATGACCTTTGTCTTCACCCATGGGGCATACAGAGGCAGTACTTGTCCATTCGAGTGCACCATGCCCGAACTTCCAGCACTTATTGCAAAGTCTAGGAGAGGGAATGTACTCCTGAACTGGCACCAGCAAGAATTATAGAAGGCAGAAGGGTTCTACTATCAAAGGTGATTTTCACAACTCAAAAGGGCTGATGGCGACGACCATGAGGGGGTAGAGTGAACGTGTCCATCTGGAAGACAGAATGGCCTTGTGCTACTAGGATATGTTCAATATCCTCGTCGCAGTCTTTTAGGTCCCTAACATCAGTTGCATCATGGGGCGGGAGAAGTGCCAACACTGGCAATTAACAGATTGTTTTTGGAGACTCGAACAAGTCTCCCCAATGCGGCTAAGCGGGTGGCTGCAACCCGAGGAGCGGCAGCGACGACACGTGTACCGAGACGGGTGGGGTTAAAAGTAACAGAGGCATCTACCCAATTAACACGGTGTTTATGATTCTAGAAATCATAAACCTCCTGAAGGTGTAGAATCTAGATTTTTTTTTTTTTTTTTGAGAGATATATACAAGAGTTGTTACATTCTTGTACCGCCACTAGTGCGCGTAGCGTTTCGGAATACTGGAATATAAGTCCCTGGAATACTATCCCCGCCACGAAGAATCGTTTTTACAACCAAGTACACATTTTACTGTCGAGTTAAACAGAGGCTACAGTTAAGGATTTGCGCCCAGTAAATCCTCCCCAGCCAGGATACGAACCCATGACAAAGCGCTCGCAGAACGCCAGGAGAGTGTCTTACCACTACACCACGGAGACGTTGAGATCAAATTATTCAGCCCACATAGGACTAAACAAGGCGTGGTACGTATCAGTATCTGGAGGGATCGTGCGTGTGCAGCCGTGGCGGGGAAGGCGTCGAGAACCTCCAAAGAGGGGTTAAAAGGCGCAGTAGTTATAATGAGACGGAGCCATGCCAGGGGACGAGGTGGTCACCACTTTGGGGGCTTGGGGCTCGACCCTACCATAGGAGGGAAGGGAGTAGTCTCGTCCGGGCCCACTGTAGCTATAAAGCAGTCTTCCATCACAATCAGACTCGGGGTTCCTGGTCGCCTACCCCATGAGCCTGGGTAGGAGTTTCGTAGTCCATGCAGTAATCGTCCTAAACGTCTGGGGCCTGGAACTAGGGAATATCACTTACTAGGGCAGCCAGGGACGCCGCGCGCGGGCCAGTGCAGGAAGGAGTGTCCTCAGCAGTACTCTCCCCTTTTTAACGAGGGAGGCCTACTGCTTCGTATATTCTCAAACACCGGTGCAGACCTCATTCTCACTTTCGCACCAATCGGGACACCCAGCCATCCACTTAGGGCAGCCCCTCACGAGCGATATCTCCCGTCACGCAGGGTGCAGTCGCACCTCCACAGATCTCTAGTATCAGCTCTTTATACTGGTAATAGCTAAAAAGGGCCACCACTTACGGGCTATTCATGCCCGTGCCACTTTTTGGGTGGCTTAATCTTCTTCAATCAATCGAGCAACCCAGTGACTCACAAGGACCCTACATTTGTGTCCATTCGCAGGCAACTCCCAGAGGGGAAGAGGCAACCCTCAGAGGTTTACGTGAGCCCCCTCACCACAAGGCACTTCCCGAAGTGTTCGGACGTTATCAGTTGCGTGTATTGTTTAAAGTTTTTCTATTCGTAAACAGGCGGTGTGGAGTGCATAGAATGGACTTTGCCCTTTAAGAGGACGGCCTCCATCCAGGAACAGTACATCTCGCCTGATCTAGTTTTACACCAGTCATCTTATCTGACCCAGTTTCACACTAGACACAAAAGAACACTAAATACTGGGCACATAAGTCATCTTATGTAAATGTATGGATTTAAAAATAACTTGGATTTCTTCAGTTTATTAGAAAAATTTTGTATAACAGTAACCGTAGGCTTATATGTTGAAAATATTTCCAATGTTTAGTTCCTTTACCACTAGCAGCATGCATATAGGAATGTTTTACACAAGCACGCTGTTGAATGATCCACGTGCAAGCAAATATGTAAATGTAGCCACTTCGTCATTTATATGAAAACAAAAATCAAAGCCTTCATAGAGCAAGTTTCAATAGCAAGAGATGAGGCCATGTTTTTAACAATTCCAATTCAACACAGTTTTAACAAATATAAGCTTTATTTTGTCTGCAATACAGTGGTTAGCTTTACAAATCTTCATCATCCTCTGGTAAAGCAGTCTGGGAAGCTTCTTGGAGATCGTTCTCGATTTGTTGCTGCCACTGGGGGTCCATTTGTACCTCTGGTGGCAGGAGTGCAGGCATCGCAACAAATTCTAGGTTGGGGTCACCAATCAGTTTACGTGCAAGCCACAGGAAAGGTTTTTCGAAGTTGTAGTTCGACTTGGCAGAGATGTCATAGTACTGGAAAAGTAATCATTAAATTATTTGTAACATTTATTAAACAGGACATATACAGCTAAAAAAAAATCTAAATGGACAAGTGTCTTTAAAATATACACTTTAGCAACTGTAAAAAACCAATTATGTGGCATGTCTAATTCTCAGACTTTTGGGGTGGCCAACTATAAAGAAAAAACTAAACTAGTTTACCTTCTGCTTTACAGAGCACAATCCGTCCTCTACTCCAACAGTGCCTGAGAAACTATCAAACTGAATACATCTATTCAATACTTACACACTACCGTTTCTGATTAATGTAAACCACTTGGGAGCGAGCAGACTTTTAAATGTTTATTTTTGCATGATCTGCAAACTACCAAGTAATTATCAAAAGAAGGCCAAACCAGGAAGGCTATGTAGCACCATCAAATGTGCGGAATTATCAGAGGGAGCTAAATATCACCATGGAACTACCAAGTAAATAATTATAAACAATGTTTTAAGCCCGCGAGACTATGTAGCACCATCTGTATCAAAGATATTTGAAAGGAATTAAAGATCACAAGATGCCAATATGAAAGCTAAAGGATGCAAGACAAGCTATATAAAGGTTTCAAACAGGATTCTTTTGAGGGACAAGTGACCCAGAGGGTCATTACGAACACAAGATGTATGATTATCCTGAAAATGAGAACCTCCTACATCTGTATGACTAAGTTGGAGAATGCAATTCAGACTGTGTTAGGCATTGTTCTGTGACAATTTTATTAAGAGTAATAGTTACTCAAAGTTCTCGGAAATGATCCTGTTAATCCTACATAACTTATCCCCAAGAATTTCTCATTCCAAAAAGGAATGTGTAAAACAGCAACTCTGCTTACAGAGCACACAATTACAAAACATTCTATTGCAAAGATGCTAGTCTCCAGGGGCAGGCAGCACAGGTTTGGTCAAGAGAAAACAGTAGCAAACACTGTCAGCAAAGATACACCAGTCTGATCAGAGCAATGGAGCAGGAAAAGAAAAGTCATTTCATACACCATCATGTAGCATCCACTAGCAGTGTAATGATCCAGACTTGTAATGGAGTGGGAATTATCTTGAATGAATTGGAGGGAGGGAAAGTGATGAAACTGGACTGAATTTATACTATTAAAAAGCTAACATTTCAAATCTTAATTGCTAGACGATGAGTCACAATAACGTGGCTGAAGGTATGATGATCAAACCACACACCAGAGGACCATGAAACAATATCTCGATCTGTCCTGGACCATTATAAAGTCACATTCAACTTTATAATGGTCCAGGACAAACCGAAACTCCATCGTTTCTCCACCTTCAGTTGTGTGATTTGGTCATCTTTACTGCAAGCTTACCCACTGATACTTGACCATTAATTGCACAAGAATGGAGTACTAGACAAACTCACAAAGCAAGCTTAAGTGTTAATAAATTATTAAAGTACTAAAAAAACTGACAATACAGTGGAACCTCTGCTTTCGAATGTAATTTTTCATTTTTTTTTGGTACTCTTTTTTTTTTTAAATATGACTGTACTCTAGTTTGACTCGGTGGTCGAGCCCATGTATGGGTCGATGAGCGTGGGGTTATGTTCTGCTGGGCGAGACGATGCGCGCTCAGTTTACCAGTTTATCCCGCCTAGTGAAGATTACACTTTAATATTGCATTTGGAAGGATTGAATGGATGGTGGGGGGTAACTGGATGGCAGAGGGGGACTGCTTTATGGGGTTCTGGGAGTTGTTCTACTTCAAAACTGGCTTGAGGCCAAGCTCGACTTGTGAGAGCTTGGTCCAACAGGCTGTTGCTCAGAGCGGCCTGCAGGTCCACATATCCACCACAACCTGGTTTGTTCAGCACTTTGATATCTCTCAGTTGTTCCAGCAATATTTCTTATACAGTACTTGCTGAGAGGATGTTAAGGGACCATAACTAAAAATATGCAATAAATGAAAACTGGTTCTATTTCAATCAAACTTTTTTGACTAGTTGTATATGAAAAGGGCTTCAACTGGTCCAAGTCTCAGCATCATAGCATAAATAGGAAGGGAGGAAAAAATATTGAAGTATCAAAATTTTTCCAAAAAATGGTACAAAATTTACTTCAAACACAAGCGTCAACTGAAATCATGTCTGACTCGGCTATAACAATAGCATATAATAAAGGATTTACATATATAGTTTTATCCAAAAAAATGTAGTTAAAAAATTGATTTTTTTTAAATAATGTCTCATTTTTGGTTGGAACGATTTGCATGAAACTTGTATACCTTACTGAACGTAAGCCAATCTGTAAGGGTGCCAATTTTGAATTGATTGATGTCAACCTCAGCCACAGGTGGCAGAATGTGTTAATTATTTTTGAAGTACCAGTGAATTTACTCATTTATCAATGTACATGAAATTTAAACCTTATATGTAGAGTTTATGCCTCTACAATACTACTAAGCCATGTTATTCCTAAGACCATTTACTGTCTTATAAATATTTATATTTTTTGTTGTATAATTTATGTAAACTGATTTTTATTATTGCACTAATTTTTATAAAATCTCTGAAAAATCTGTTATTATATGCTAATGTGATAGCCGAGTCATAAAAATGATGTCAGTCGTAAATTTTGATGTGTTGTAAATTTTGAAAATGTTGAAAAATGGCTTAATATATTTTTTCTCCCTTTCTATTTACACTGATGCTGAAACTTGGACCAGTTGGAGCCATTCATATATATATCATTAAAGTTTGATTGAAATTAAACAACTTAATATTTAAATTATGCCTCCTTAAGGAGCCAACAGAAGGGATTATTAGAAGTTGTTCTAGTGCAATAAAAATTTATTGACATTTTATATGTAAAAAGGGCTGCAACTGGTCCAAGTTTCAGCATCACAGCCTAAATAGGCAAGGGGGGAAAAAAATGCAACAAAATGTTTATAAAATCAATAAATGGACTTAGGGAAAAAAAAAAAAAAAAAAAATCCCCCAGGTTTTAAGAGGCGTAATCTCTACATACAATGTGCAAGTTTCATGTAAATTCAATAATAAATGAAGAGTTTTAAACTCCCATGTAGTTAATTATTTACCTGTACAAACAAAGCTCAAAGTTCAGCCAGAGGATGACATCGACCAATTTCATTCAAAATTGGAACCCTTGCCGATAGGCTTGCATGAAGTCAGGTGTACAAGTGTCATGCAAATCGTCCGATAAACAAGGAAAAAATTTTTTTTTTTAACTTGGTTATCTTTTTAATAAATTTTTTTTAATATGCACTATTGTGATAGCCGAGTCAGCCATGATTTCAGTTGACACTTTTGTTTGATAATCGTTTATCATCATTTTGGAAAATTGTTGACAATTCAATATTTTTTCTCTTCCTATTTATGCTACAATGCTGAGTCTTTGACCAGACGAAAACCTTTTCATACTTGTCAAAAAAGTTTGAAATCGCACCAATTTTGAAACGCTCAAAAAGTTCCTAATGCCCCCTTAAACAACAGTAGACATCTTGATGTTTATAGTGTTTTCCGATTGTGCTTATGGGTTATAACTGACTGGATGGATGGCAGGCGAGTGGGACAAGGAGGCTGTGGGGACCAGATGGATGGATGGCGAGTGAGGATGGAGGCTGGTAGGGAGGAGGAAATCTTTCAGAAATACCAGCCCTACAATCATGCAAGGGAAGAACACAGTGAGCAGGTGAAAATGAGGGTTACTGGGTTGATTCGTAGTCTGTTCCAAGAACTGCTATCTACCTTTTCTCACTAATGACTTATTTTAGACCTTAATCATAATGTATAAATCTATTAATGCTGACTATATTGAGACTTCAAGACAAAAATAAAATACTAACCTGTAGATTCTTCTTTCTATGGAAAATGATGGACTTTGCTTTGACCTTGCGATCTTTAACATCAACCTTGTTTCCACACAAAACAATGGGAATATTTTCGCATACACGCACAAGATCTCTATGCCAGTTAGGAACATTTTTGTAGGTGACTCTGGATGTGACATCAAACATAATAATGGCACAGTGAGCTTGAATGTAGTAACCATCACGAAGGCCACCTAATTTCTCTTGTCCTGCAGTGTCCCATACATTGAATCTGGAAATGAAAAAATGACATTAATTTTCTTATTGCATTAATTTTTAAGCATAAGCAGGGGGAAAAGCATGGAAAAGTTGAAACATTATTAATGAATTCAGTGACATTACTATAGCAGGTGAAAATGCTAAATTACTCCCATTGACATTATGGTTGGATCTGCCTAATCTTTCATTTAACAAATTTATCTTTCTGAAAATTGTTATTAACCATCTTAGGCAAGCAATGAACTAAGCTATGTACCTAATATGAATATGACTAATATACAAAAGAAGTGGGTTTTTATATATTACTGTCAGTTCAAATTAAATTTACCTGGCGACCTCCAATAATGCCAAACTAATGGTCAAGGTATCTATCTTGAGGTTATCTTGAGATGATTTCGGGGCTTTAGTGTCCCCGCGGCCCGGTCCTCGACCAGGCCTCCACCCCCAGGAAGCAGCCCGTGACAGCTGACTAACTCCCAGGTACCTATTTACTGCTAGGTAACAGGGGCATTCAGGGTGAAAGAAACTTTGCCCATTTGTTTCTGCCTCGTGCAGGAATCGAACCCGCGCCACAGAATTACGAGTCCTGCGCGCTATCCACCAGGCTACGAGGCCCCCTAGGAATGAGCCACGTTACCAAATACCCGCCATGACTTCTAAAGCCAACCCGTTCTCGCAAATTCGTAAAGTCAATATTGACTTATTAACTACGTGCATAGGTGACATACTAAACATAATAGATACCCTTAAAAAGATTCATAGAAAACACCAACCTTACCTAACCTTGTTAGTATCTTAAGATAAGCATCTTATTGCTTCGTAATTACAATTATTACTTAACCTATACCTATTATAGGTTAGGTAATAATTGTAATTACGAAGCAATAAGATGCTTATCTTAACATACTAAGTAGGTTAGGTAAGGTCGGTGTTTTCTATGAATCTTTTTAAGGGTATCTATTATGTTAAGTATGTCACCTATGCACATATTTAATAAGTCAATATTGACTTATTAAATTTGCGAGAACGGGTTGTCTAAAGCACCTGGAGGCGGTCTGGTCCAGAGCTGTCAGGCACGAGTTGCCACATATTACCCAATTACAGTATTTCAATGTAAATTTTTACTTTGGACAGTAATATTACCCAATAGTGTGTAGTGTGATATATATGTAAAAAAATGCGTGAATCATCACTATACTCAAAAGTATGGTGTGCATATTAGCGATTCAATTACAATCATAAAAAAATGTTATTACACTATACACACACATTCTGTATTAGTATCTGCATGTTTTGTTCACCATGTGCAAATCACTAAGCTGGTGTGGTGCATCAAAACAGCATAGTGGACACCAACACACCAGTCGGCTGATTATTCTACTTCCCTCACCAACATTCCTCTTCCCATCATAAGTATAAGTCAGAAGACCTGGACAAAATAAGTACATGGAGCACCACTTGGCAAATGGAATTTAATGTTAATAAATGGCATGTTATGGAATGTGGAATAGGAGAACAGACCCCACACAACCTATATATTATATGAGAAATCTTTAAAGAATTCTGATAAAGAAAGAGATCTAGGAGTGGTTCTAGATATAAAACTATCACCTGAGGAAATCACCCGAGTGTAACAAACTAGGCTGTTGTAAGAATTATCCAGAGTGGTTTATCGACAAAAGAGAATGGGAAGCTGAGCCCGCATGGTGACCTGACCCCCAGGGGAATTCGCGGTGGAAATAACCGACGCTTTGTTCATAGCTGCGTATAATGAATCATCCTATAGTATTCAGTAATTTAGAGAAATTAGCCTTTATTCATTTTGTATTAAAATTGTATTGTATAATAGTACTGGGTACAACATCAAGAGTATTCTAATTATTGAGTTTAAGTCACCATCAGTGACGTCACGAATCAGATCTAACTTGTAAGGCGGAGTGACCGGCGGTCATAGGTCATCAGGGTTGACAGGTCTACTATTTCTCAGTTTTAATAACCATTTTTGTGATCGGGAACAGCTCTGCCGTTAGAGGCTTGTGTAATTTAATTTCAGTAAAATAATTCAACCAGTCTGGATCAATTAAGTACAACAGAGTTTAATTGTTATAACTTAAACCTTGCTAGTAACTTGGTAGAACTTTGACTGACTAGGCGGAAGGATACAATGCTCTGTCTGGGGTAGACCAGACAAGGGAGAGATCAGTGTGGAAACGGGAGCAGCTGGGATAAGAGGTCAAACATCTTACCTCTCCCCGAGTCCAGCCCAACATCTGTAGCTGGTAAAACAGAGGTATAGTTGCTATGGTTACTTATAGAATAGTCTTCATTGCCATTCAGGTCAAGTAGGGAGTGTTAAAGTGACAGGGAGTGAACATATTTAGATTTTGTTTTAGTTTTCTTTTAATAAATTAAATTTGTTAATATTTTGCATTTCATTATTTCCATGTGTTTTATGTGTAAACTTGTCCTGGTCACGTGGTCCACACGAGGTAGAGTTGGATTGGGCGCCGATTCTAACATCGAATCGGAATTATCATTACCGTGTAATTTATTCCACACTCAAGGTCATCGTTTATAGTGGGGATCAAGCCCCAAGGTTGATTAATTAGCGTGATCGATCCAGACCTCGATCATTGCTCTGTGTTGCTGGTCTGGTGGTGGCAGCGTAGAGGCGACTCTAGGGTTTGCTCAGAGCCTAGGTCACGTCATACTGGGTGTAGAATCCTAAGTCGGTCAATCGTCTTAGGACCACGTGGCGTGGAGTTGGCTTTGGTAAAAGTTTTGGAGTCCCTTGGTAGAGAATAAAAAGTAAGAATACGGGTAGAGGGCAAAGAAAGAAGGAAGTAGAGAGAGAGAAACATAACTCGTGTTACATGAGGACCACAAAGAATATTGTGCGAGGAGCCTATGCCACGCTTTCTAACTTCAGAATTGCTTTTAAATACATGGATGGCGATATACTAAAGAAATTGTTCACGACTTTTGTTAGGCCAAAGCTAGAATATGCAGCGGTTGTGTGGTGCCCATATCTTAACACTTTGGCATGCCCCGCGCGCCACCCCTCAACTGTGCGATTTGGGTCCCAGCATTTCACGGGAGCGCGCGTTAATTCTGAAAAGTGTATACTATCTTCAACTTTGTCACCTTAATTCCCCATGAGATTAAATTTGGTATCATTGTGTTCGCAATAGAATTCTCTACAGCACTAAATGCATATAAACTCCAAAGGCCAGGCTAATTACCCGCAGCAAACAGAGAAAGTGCAAACGAGTTACTGTACCCAGGAGCGCGCAATAGCGATAAAATGTGTTCACTCTTTTCACTCTGGTCACCTCAATTTTCGTCCTAGGTCTTTCATTTTGGTATCAATGGGTTCGCAATAGAATTCTCTAGAGGAACATTAGCATATAAAATAAAAAACCTGGTCACGCTCCACCCGCCGACGAGCTGAAGACGGGCCACGCGTTAACTGCGAGTGAGCGCCCAGACGCCTTGAGGCTCCCAATTCCTGCCCACAAGTGCTTAGTATTTAGTATTTTAGTATATGTAGTATTATAGTTTAGTAATTTTTGTGTAGTAGTCGTACATCACATAAGCATTGTAGATAGCCATTTGCACAAAATAGATGGTCATTTTCTTCGTCCATTTGAGTTTTCCTTATGAAGTGATAATATTTGATCATTTGGTCAAAGTGATCAACACCTTTCATGTTTGTATTGTAGTCGCAGATTGCATTCGGCTTGTTGACAGTTACCAAACAGTCCCCCAAAAATTGGATAAAAACCTGATTTTTGGCAATTATTTTAGTGGATGACGCAATGCTGCGTCATCCCCGAGATTACCAACAGTAAACGGATGACGCAATGCTGCGTCATGCCCGGGCAAAAGTGTTTAGAAGCACATCAACAAACTGGAAAAGGTACAAAGACATGCTACTAAGTGGCTCCCAGAACTGAAGGGCAAGAGCTACGAGGAGAGGTTAGAGGCATTAAATATGCCAAAATTAGAAGACAGAAGAAAAAGAGGTGATATGATCACTACATACAAAATAGTAACAGGAATTGATAAAATCGATGGGGAAGATTTCCCGAGACCTGGAACTTTAAGAACAAGAGGTCATAGATTTAAACTAGCTAAACACAGATGCCGAAGAAATGAAGAAAATTCACTTTCGCAAACAGAGTGGTAGACGGTTGGAACAAGTTAGGGGAGGTGGTGGAGGCCAAGACTGTCAGTAGTTTCAAAGCGTTATATGACAGTGCTGGGAAGACGGGACACCACGAGCGTAGCTCTCATCCTGTAACTACACTTAGGTAATTACACACACACGTACATACAGCACACGTATCTACATTTGTGTTCATCAGAACAAACTGCTAAGTTCAGACTAGGGTTAGTCAGGTAACAAAGCACCTGTTGTAATAGAAGCCAAGGTTAGAACAAAAGACAAATACATGCACACAAACATGCATACTAGTACACACACAGGCTCGCTATCTATCTATATCACACACACACACTGGAAACGACTCTTTGAATGTGGCAAGATGTGGTATATATGAATAAAAACTAATCAGCAATAGACAATTTAGAGAGAAATGTGTGATAAGAGAATACAGAGTAAAATGCAATTGTAAGGAAAGGGAGTGCAATATTTTTCTGGCAAGATTTATAACTGCATAGTAAGACGATTCAGAGAGGAAAGTTGGGGTTAACACTATCGGTAACTTTGGACCGGACTCTCGCCCATTATTTTTCTCTTGAATCCTAACTTTGGACTGGACTTGCGTCCACTACAAAAATATTTGTATAAAATTCATTTTGTATCCAATCGACCTAGGGATAGTATCAAAATAATCGCCTTTAGAATGCGCACAATTTGATACCAAAATGAAAAATGTAACATGAAACTTGATGTCCGAACAATTATATGATTATAAATAGGTTTTTGGTCAAAATATTAAAATATTTGTTAAAATTCTATTTATTGTGCTATTATGTTGGGACTAGTTT